TGACCTTGTACCACCCTTAGCAAGTGGTGGGACCTGTATCGCTGTTCCCCGGTGCCAACTTTCCCTTTGCCAGAAGATACCCAGGGCTCCGTTTACTGAGCTACAGTTGTCAGCTCCTGGACTTCAGATCCTGTGGGGCCAGCTAGGTGAGAATAGTCCTCCATGGACCCCAAGCATCCCCTGGCTCCGCTGGCACGTCCCTTCGCTAGCTTTAAGATCCTAGCTTAGCTCTCCAGCAGACGATAGAGTTGGGAGAGGTAGCCTGAGAGTTGGTTAGGCGAGGGGTGCTGTAGGGCCGTCACCCAGCTTCAAAGTTTTCCTCAACCTCACCTTTTCATCTATAAAACGGAGATGGTATATACATTTAGAGATTGTGAATATACTCTGTAAACTGAAGCACGGGGCACGTGCTTTTGGGCAGTGGTTATGGCCAGAGGTCGATGCAGATGACAATGGAAAGAGGCCAGATGCAAAGGGAAATTATCATCCTACAGTATAACTTGCATTTCATTAATAAGTGTTCGGTAAATGAAGTAGTTAATTTTCTGCTGCAAGAGACATCAACAAACAAGCAAACAACAAAACTTGCATTTCATTGCCCAGGGGTTCCTGACAAAAGAGGTTTTTACTAAAATAACCCCCAGCTCAACCCGCTTATTTATTTTTTCTACAAGTGGAACTAAGTTATTTCACCAGGGGGCATATTTTACCTATTTGTGTCAGAGAATAACAACAACAACAACAACAAACCATTGCACCCCACATTATGAAGAAGCCACAGTTTCTCTCTCTCCCTCCTGCTCTCTCTCTTTATCCTCCTCCCCTTTGTCTCAGGGCAACTTTTACTGATTGTATCATAGAGCTTATTTCTATTTTCTTCATGGTTTAGTTGTTAAAATGCCACACTGTGCAAGGATTGGCTTCAGAAAGATCAGTTGGTGTTTCAAGTATGGCCATTCCCATCCAACCCCACCACTGCCTACCCAAAGGAGGACTATGGTGTGTCAGGCGGGGAGGGGGAGGTTGCTGTGTGAGACACTAAAGCAAATTGGGGGGTATTGCCAAACGCGACTTTGGGTGTACAGTTGCCGTGTCACTGGGTTTACAGTACAGAGGTGTAAGACAGTATGTGCAATGGACAAAACACTGAACGGAGAGTTAGGAACTTTATATTCTTGAATCCTGTCACTAATCCAGTGAGTTTGGGGCAAGCCACTCCCCATATTTAGCTCTGCTTTCTCAACTGAACTGACAGGGCCTGACCAGGGCTTTTGCTGTTTAAGAATCATTTTCTGATTCTTAGGGAATAAAGGAGGCACCCCTTAGGGTTCCCTCCATCGTGACCACGCCCCCGACATGCCATTTCATTCCCATGGCAACGGCTGTTTGGGCTCCACTGACCTCCAGTTCTTTAGCAGCTGCTGCAGGTAGGAGGTTGCAGGACTTTGTTTGGGGGCCAGAGTGCTAATTTCTTCTTTTTTTTCCTCTTACAGATTGAATTTATTCTAAAAGTTCTACCTACACCTCAGTGAGTTCACAGTACATGGTGGAGTGTGAAGTCAGCAGCAAAAAGAGGTACGACAGCTTTAGTTTACTAAAAAAAACCCAAACACTAATATGTAAATAAGAGTAACTAGGCATTTTGTCCCACATCAAATCTCATTTATGAATGGTTCTTGTTGGAGTTATCACATAACTGCCACCCAGGCTGCTAACATGAGAGTGTGAAAGTGCTGGTCTGGAGGCAGGAGTTGAGCTAGGCCCCAGTAGATAAATGTATGACTTCTGAGAAGTTCCTTCCCTCTCCAGAACACAGTTTCTTCATCTGTACAAGAAGTTTAGACTACTGATATGGGCTGAATTGTGTCTCCTCTGCCCCTAGCCCAATTCCTTTGTGGAACTCCTAAGCCCCAGTATCTCAGAATTGGACTTTATTTAGGAATTGGGTGGTGGATATGATTAGTTGAGTCGAGGTCAGGCTGGAGTTTGGTAGGCCCCTAATGGAATGTGACTGGAATCTTCATAAAAAGAAGATATTTGGACACAGATACAGACTCAGGGAGAATTCCAAGTAAAAAGAAATGCAGAGATCCAGGGGATGCTTCTATAAATCAAGGGTCACCAAAGATTGCCTGCAAACTACCAGAAATTAAGTGAGAGGCACATAACAAAATCTCCTTCACTATCCTCAGAAGAAACCAACTCTGCCGACACCTCAATTTCAGGCTTCTAGCCTCCAGAACTGTGTGACAATAAATTTCTGTTGTTTATGGGGATCCCTGGGTGGCTCAGCGGTTTGGCACCTGCCTTTGGCCCAGGGCGTGATCCTGGAGTCCCAGGATCGACTCCCGCGTCGGGCTCCCTGCATGGAGCCTGCTTCTCCCTCTGCCTGTGTCTCTGCCTCTCTTTCTCTCTGTGTTTCTCACGAATAAATAAATACAAAATCTTAAAAAAAATTTCTGTTGTTTAACCATCCTGATAGAGTAGTTAGACATGAGCTGGAGGCAGAGGCAGTGATAAATAGATGACACATTAGAAGCCTGAGGTAGAACATCCTGACTTTGTGGCTTTTAACATCCTAGCTTTACAGCTTCCAACACCCCCGGGGCTGACAGACCAGGAGCCACAGGCGGAGACCATGTGCTTTCCTCTTCAACGTTGACCCCAGGGTAACCTATAGCTTCATTATAATATATTTACGTTGTGGCTTCAAACCCCGCACCCCATGGGGGAATATGGCCATGACAATTCTAGCAAGTACCTTATAGGACCACCACCCCCCTCCCCCGAACTGGTAGGAGGAGTCCCTTAGATGATGGGACACAACCTCAGTCGGAGACCCCCCCCCAGCGATGACCCGTAACCTATGCAAACATAAAAAGAAAAGACACCCCTAGCCCCAGTGCAGTTGCCACCTCTGGGCCTGCTCGCTTTCCCACCTTGAGAGGGTACTGTCCTTAAAAAACTGCTCTGTGCCAGCTACTTTCCTTCTGGCTGTCTTTATTAGAGCGTGCATCCTCCTGTAAATCTTTTATGGGGGATCGAAGAGACCTCCGTTCACACAACACAGACTCTCTTCCATCAATAACAATTCAATTTGCAATTTATTGTTAAGGTAGCTCCAGCAAGGCACTACTACTCTATCTGTGGTTCCCAGTCTTTTCAGGACCAAGAACCTTTTTGCTCTTTGCCCTCCTGTGGACCCAATTCATTTATGTAACTAATATTTTCTGAGCACCTACTGTATACCAGGCCCTTATTCTAGGCATTGGAGTTACACAAACTCACAAAGCCAAGTTCCCTCCTCTTGTGTTCATTCTGTATGTTTTAAAAGATTTAGTTGGCCAAGTATATTATGGCTTATGTTAGTTTAGTAATAATTTCTCTATTTTCTCATGAGATAACCAAGATTACTTCATCGATGTGATACAATTAGTGCCTAAAATGAAAGGAAAGGTCGTGTTCTAAGTAACCGTTAATCCCCTATGAAAAGTACGTTCGTTAGGTTTTTTTTTTTTTTAAATATTGAAAATCATTCTCAGAAACCCCCTTACTACAATTATGGATCCCTAGGGATTCAAGAACCTCATCATTGGGTGATGAGCTAGAGCAGGGATGGCAAACTTCTCCTGTAAAAGGCCAGATAGTAAACATTTTAGGCTTTGTGGGTTACACGGTCTCTGTCACCACTAACACAACATCGCCGTTGCACTGTGAAAGCAGCTGTAGATGATCCAAACAAATACGTGTGGCTGAGTTCCAATAAAATCCTATTTATGGACAGCGAAACTTGAATTTCACATAATTTTCCCGTATGGCAAGATATTAGTCTTCTTTTGATTTTTTTTCCAGTCATTAAAAATGGAAAACCCATTCTTTACTCACTGAGCTACAGGACACCAGGGGGGCAGGCAGGCTGTATGTATTCAGCCGACTGGCCACAGTTTGCCAACCCCACAGTTAAATTCTGATTTTGCCCCAGTTCTGGAATTAGGCGATTCTTGTCCCCCTAAGGTCTAGGTGAGGCCCAGAGAGGAATCAAGTTTGAAGTCAAACCGAGGCTTCCTGCTTCCCAGTCCGGAGCGCCCAACACTGTCCTAAGCTGCCGTGTTTAGTTATGATTTCACATGTGGTCTTTGTATCCATGTGGTGCAGAAAATAGATGTGTGGTCAGCGGCCCTTTCCAGGCGTTGACCATGTAAGGGTTGTCCTCTTATTAGCTGCCAGTGGCAACCTTATTTTGTCAGGCTGACCCCAGGCTTACGGCGCTGTTTTCGTTTATACTTCTCTCGGGTTGCGCGGGCCCGGGAGGCCCATCTGTCCCTTACTATTTGAGTCCCTGTTGTCTCATTGGCAGCTTTCTGAGCAGCTGCAAAATGTTTTTAACTTGAAGTGGAAGTTGGGGTCACCGGCGTCGTCAGGCCTGAACAGTCACGCTCAGCAAGGGCTCTTTCAGCTCTGACATTGACTAGCTTACGGACTCGGGTGAGTGTTAAACTAACTCCTCCCACTTTCCCACGGCTGGCCTTGCACTGTTGGTAATAATGTGGCATTTCTCAAGGGCTGGGGAATAACGTGCACCGCTTTGTGTGTGTGTGTGTGTGTGTGTCTGTGTCTGGAAACCGCTTGGCTGCCTAGGACCACAGTCCTCCGCCCGGCCGTCCCTCGTGGCGGCCCCTCTGCTCCGGTGGCCTGGAAACCGCAGCTCGGCGACGGCTGTCCCGAGGGGCACCAAGCTGCTCACGCGCGCTCGGGGGCCGCTAACCCCGCCGCCCTCCGCGGAAGACCATGCTGCGAGGCAAGTCCCGGCTCAACGTGGAGTGGCTGGGCTACTCGCCCGGCCTGCTCCTCGAGCGCAGGCAGCTCCTGGCAGGGCGCACGCCGCGGAGCCCCGGCCGGTAAGTCACGTGAGCGCCCGCGCCCGCGCCTGCGCCCGCGCCCGCGCCGCGCGCTCTACGTCACCCTGGCGCGCCGCACTTGCGCATTGCGCCCCGCCGCCCGGTGCTAGCCGGCACTTCCGGCGTGGCACGCCTCCACCGGTCGCCCGCCGAGCGGACGGAGCGCGGTCCCCGAGCCCAGCCCGCCTCCCAGCCCCTGCTGTGGGCGCGGCTGCACCATGGAACGCCTCGATAAAGCGGCGCTGAATGCGCTGCAGCCGCCCGACTTCAGGTAGCCCCGAGCGGCGCCCCGGCCCGGCAGGGGCCCTGACCGCAAGGCCACCTGGCCCCGGTCTGGAGCGGGGTGTGGGGGAGGGCCCGAGCCGAGCGGGCGGGCGGGCCTGCGGTGGGCGTGACGTCTGGACCCTCGGGCCTGCGGTGGCCGGGCTGCGGGGGGTCGGGGGAGGGGAGAAGGGAAGCAGGTTGGGGCCTGTAGCGTCTGCACGCACGGGAGCCGGGAGCCGGGGTCGTACGGGAGAGGTCGGCGGGCCTTCAGCTCCGGCTTCTGTCCTAGCACTTCCTGTCGCTGTCGTCTGTTTTGCGATCCTGCTCTGTGCAATCTCTCCCCACTGCAGGGTGAGCTCCTTGAGGACAGGAACCGGCCTTCTCCATCTCCGTGTCCCCCCACGGGGCCTGCATCGTCGGGGCTTAAATGTTTGCTGTATGAACGAATGAAGGGACGAGAGTTAGGGGCTGGCCCTGGTTTGAGACCGCTTCACTTGGGGGAGTTAGTAGGATGGGGGCTGGTGGCTGAGTAGAATGGTATTGTGGCCCACTAGCCTAGCCAATGATACCTCGGTAGACAAAAGGGTGGGAAGGGATTTAGCTGCCATTCGATGTTGACCTACTATGTGCCAGACTCAACTTAGGTTCTTTAATACATGGGTTAGCAAACTAAGAAAGTGTTTAGTTCCCCTCTCTCCCCTTTTTTAAAGAAGATGAAGTTACTCTGGATGAGTGACTTGCCCAAGATCACACAGTAAGTGTTGAAGCTGGCATGTGACCAATCTCATTGATTCCGAAGACTGATCTTTGGAGCCCCGTGACCCTTTTCTCTCTCATGATATCACTGTAGCGGTTTTTTATGATTACTGTTGACTAGTTGTTGGGGTCTTTTTGGTCAAGTATACTTAGAATACCGTGTAGCCCTCCTAGACTGATTCTAGTGTTTCCTAGTGGAATTTACAGTGAAATCTACTTACATGAAAGTCTTGCTTGCCACAGAAGGAAACGTGGTAAGCTGTATCTGCCTAGTACTTGCTGCAGAAGTTCCTATGAAGTGGGTCAACTCTAGGTGGTTTCAAGATGGGGAAACAGTAAGGTTCATTCTGAGTTATTTCTTTATTTCTAACAAGTCTCTGTAACACCCATGAGAGATACATATAAGAAATCAACTGCATAACATCAGTTGATTTGTTTTACATATTTATTTCTTTTTAAAATATTTATTTATTTATTAGAGTGCACAGGCAAGCACAAGCAGAGGGGCAGAGGAGGGGCAGAGGGAGGAAAAAAGGAAAAGCAGACTCTCCGCCGAGCAGGGAGCCTGATGCTGGGATCATGACTTGAGCTGCCCGAAGGTAGATGCTTAACTCACTGAGCCACCCAGGCACTCAGTTGCTTTGTTTTAGAATGATTCACCTGTCATACCCAAGCTTGCTTATGCCAGCAGAACTGCCAACTACGGTGGGGATGTGGCTGGAAGCCAAAGAGAAAATGTCCTGTAAACACTAGAGGAAGTTTGCTAGTTTTCAGAAGTTTTTAGGCTTTACTTTATATATAGTCCCCTACTTGTGAGGTCATAATCCAGAATAAACGAGTTTTGGAGCTTAAGGTAAAGGTAGTAAAAAAGTTGAAAATAAACTATGAATTGTTAAGATGTGCCCAAGCCTGACGTAGAGCATGTGGGGCTAGAAATTAACATGTAGAAAAGAAAAAATTATGTTTGAGTGGTGGAACTATAAGTGCTTTTGTTTGCCTTAACACATTTTTATATGGTATTATCTTTTCAATAATAATATTTTCTGAAAACCAGGTCATATATTAGATACTCAAGAGAGATGATCTGAAGAACGAAAGAACGTTTTAACACTCTCTAGAATCTCAAGCTTTGTTTCTTTATCAGGTTAGATATCTTAACTTTGCATACCTTAAATGCATACTTGGACTCAACCATAGAAACCTCCACAAAGTCATGTTTTTTGTTGGGCTTCATGAAAGAAGTGGTCAGGTAACTGACATTGAATCTTTATAGCCCTACTGTAGAACTACTCATATTCTTCATGAAGATTACACAATAAATTTCCCCAAACGTTTACTGCTAGGAAATGTTTAAAGGAGCATAAGTATGTCAGATGAGGATTGTGTAGCTCAGCGATCACTGTAGTGGGATGTTAAAAAATGATCCACTGAAGTATGGAAAGAAAATACTAGAACTTCTACATGAGTTTATTTTCGCATTATCCTTTTCAGTATCTATTTTTGCATATGTTTTCTTTTTTTAAGGGATGTATTGGTATTTTGTGTGTAGATGATCTGTTTAAAAAAATCAATATGCCTTTATATGGGATTTGTGCTCAAAACTTAGATGGTTTAACTAATAGTCAAAAAAGTTTGTAGACCATTGTTTGTAAACCATAAACTTGAGCTGTTCCCTTCCCTTCTGGGCTTCCAGAAACTTCCTAGCTCATCATCATTTACACAGTTGTAAGAACCCTTTGCCTGGATTTTCTAAGGTTCCAGAGAAATGTGCAGGACTATATAAGAAACAAGCTGGCACATTAAGTGCTGTAATAACAGGTATGAGCTAAGTGTGATTGTGTCCCAGAGCAGTGAATCATTTCAGTTCGAGTGATCAGGAAAGGTGCCTGGAGGACAGGCTCTTTTGAGGGGGACCTTGAAGGCTGGGCTGTCTCCTTCCCAGAGATACGGATAAAAATTATAGCCTCTGAGGATTGCCAGAAACAAAATTAACTCCAATGTTGACTATAAGCATAAAGTGTGAAGTGTGTTAAGATAGTCTGAGGATGGTTAGATATAAGAGATGAAAAGGACCTTAAGCTAAATGATTAAAACTATAGGGTTTACTGTTTTTAGAATGTAGGTGGTGGTATGTATGAGGTACAGATGTGTCTAGGGTTTCTGGAAACCTACTACTCCTTCACTTTCCATAGGGCTGCTCATCTGTGACAATGTAAGGGACAAGTGCTGGAGTAGATTTACTTTTTGAAAAGTCAGTGAAACAACATTAAGGAACATTTTGAAAATGGAGAAGTTATTTTTGTATATTGATCTGGAGTCCTTTTTTATATGCACACACTTTTAACATGATTGAAATGGTATATGTCAGTGGTTGGTGACGTTTTTCTGTAAAGGGCCAGGGAGTAAATATTTTAGGTCTTGAGGGCCATACAGTTTGGTACTGTTACTCAGCTTGTCCTTTGTAGCTCCAAAGCTATCTTTGATGATACATAAACAAATGGGTATGTCTGTGTTCCATTTAAACATTATTTATAGAAATAGGCATTGGGCCCTTAGGCCTTATTTTGCAGACCCCTGATAAACATAATATAATATAGTTTGTCTTGTTCATTTGTCACATGAATAGTTTGTGAGTAATGGTCAGGATTCTTTTTAATGGGCCCATATATTGATATACATTAATTGTGAATTTTTTTTAAATTATGGACATTTTATTGTATCTAATTTTTTTGTGCTTTTATGTTAATCTTTTTTAAAAGATTTTATTTATTTATTCATGAGAGACCCAGAGAGAGGCAGAGACACAGGCAGAGGGAGAAGCAGGCTTCCTGCGGGGAGCCTGATGCGGGACTCCATCCCTGGACTCTGGGATCATGACCTGAGCCGAAGGCAGATGTTCCACCACTGAGCCACCCAGGCGTCCGTCTTTTTTTCTTTTCTTTTCTTTTTTTTTTTAATAATAAATTTATTTTTTATTGGTGTTCAATTTGCCAACATACAGAATAACATCCAGTGCTCATTCCGTCAAGTGCCCCCCCCCCCGTGCCTGTCACCCATTCACCCCCCCGCCCTCCTCCCCTTCCATCACCCCTAGTTCGTTTCCCAGACTTAGGAGACAGAACATGAAGACTTTTTTTCTTTTTTTATGTTAATCTTCGTATTCATGTTTTTAAGTAGCAGAGTATAAGCCTTGTTTTTCTTTATGTAATTTGAAAAGTGTGATTGCATTCTTCAGGATAGTTTTATTGTATTCTGAAGCAAAACTTTTCTCCGTTGGAATATTTCCTTGATTTTAAAATAATCTCTGGACAAATAGAATTCACTGAATAGAAGGTGTTTTGACATAAATTTTTAATGCATCCATGTTACGTGAAGTCCATCTAAGTTGCACTTATAGCTATTTAATTCAAAGAAATTAAAGTAAGTTTCCTTCAGCTGCATCCAAATTGTTCTAGGCTGCTTTTTTTTGGAGATTTTCATACCTTGTGTGTACTGTATCCAGCTAGCACTTGAGAGGATGCTTTGTGAAGGAACATGCATTAATTGTTTTCTGTCCATCTCCTTTGCTACCTCCATTATAAATTCTGTAATCAGGGTACACTTGCGTAGCACTTTGGAGACTACAAACCACTTTCATACTTTGATACTTCCTCTCACACTGGATCTGAATCATAGTCTCTTGGGTGTTCTTTGGGTCTTTAGGATCTTCCAGTTTTGAGTCCCTGACTCTACTCTTCTTCCTCTGGCCACTGCTTCCAAGGCAGAGGCAGGGTCTCCAGCATCTTCTCTGTGGATATTTATAGTGTTTATGGACACAAAAACAATTGGATATGGTTGTACAGGTTCTGATTTTCTCTTTGTTTACTTTATTCCAGAAATGAAAGTTCATTAGCATCTACCCTGAAGACGCTCCTGTTCTTCACAGCTTTAATGATCACTGTACCTATTGGGTTATATTTCACGACTAAGTCTTATGTTTTTGAAGGTAATCTTAGATGAAAAAACAAGACATTTTTCCTCTTAGTATATTTAAGATTCTGTGTTTTTATGATCTCTTTTAATCTGTAAGCTGGATATTCTTAATTTGCTTCTTCCATCTGTTTCTGTTTTGCTTCTCAAAAATCATGTTGTTCAAATGAATCTTCCTTCATGAAATTAACTTGTTCATCACTGAGTTATTTTAGTGTGACAGTGTATTTGTTGATGGTTTTCTGTGAAATAGCTTGCAGGTCCTTTCTTTTACTGGCTGACGTGGGAGGAGGAATTTGGGGGAATGTACCTTTGGTGGCAGACATTAGTAGAAAAAGAAAATAAAGTCCTCCTTTTTATGTCAAAGTCCTTAAGTGATAATTACAGTTTTCACTCAGAATAATGTTCTTTGTGCATAGAAGGTGTTCAGATCTTTAAACGAATTCTTGATTTATCACCACCCGAAGTATTGCTTTTTAATTGCCTGATGTTAAATAAATATGTAGCTAAGAAAAACTAGTATGCTTTGTTTTTTGCACTTTGATAAATTTTGGAATAAAATGGAAACTTTTTTTCTCTTGATAGGCGCCTTTGGGATGTCCAATAGGGACAGCTATTTTTATGCTGCTATTGTTGCGGTGGTCGCCGTCCACGTGGTGTTGGCCCTCTTTGTTTATGTGGCCTGGAATGAAGGCTCACGACAGTGGCGTGAAGGCAAACAGGATTAAGTTGAACATCACCTTTTGATAGCATTAAATTGATTTTTAAAAATGGTAAATGTGTCTCGGATATTGATGATTTCAATAAAGTTGAGAACATGTTAAAATCAATCTGAAGGAGTCACATTTGACTAGTGTAAATTTTGGTCCTTCTAATCCAATGATTTGTATCATCAGTTTTAACTGTATGAGCCTCTCATTTGCCAATGAGAATTTGGAAAAGTTAAGTTGGTCACTAACAAGTATGTTAATTTAGTTACATGTTCTGGGAAGAATTTGATTATCTCACCACCAGAAATGTTTTACAGTATTTTTCTCTTTTGGTTGGTTTTAAGGCTTACTTCTCTGGATATGTGAAGATGCACACAGTGAAGGAAAGAAATCTAAACTATTTTTTGCTGAAACACTCTTCCTTACTATCACAAAAGTCCTGGTTTGTTGGATTTTAGGTTGTAAATTCCTGTGCAAAATTGCTTGAATTGTGGATTTTGGACTTCATCTGAATGTCACTGAGAAATTTTGCGTAAAGTGTAATCCCTAGTCCATAGGAATCTTTCATTACATTATTTCATGGGAAGACTAGGCCAAATCACACCTATTCATGTCGAGGGACTGGTTTATTGAAGTATCTTAGGTAGCAAAGCAAAGAGATAGCTACCTGGGCACTCAGCTTTTGCAGGCTACCCTGTGCTTTTAGGCTAACTTTTTAATGATCTGCTGTGCTCTATCATTCAGCAATGAAGTTATGCTTTAATCACAGGGTTTTTGTCAGCTCCCTTTCAATTTATTTTCCCGCCTTTTTAATAATGTCTGTGATAGGAATTTACAATTGAATGTGTCCATTTTCACATATGTAGGAAGCATAAACAATCCTGAAAGATTATTTTGATCATCCAGTAAGTATTCTTGGGATTGCTAGTCAAGTCTTTTTTTAATCAAAGCTGTTACATCCCAGATATCTATAGTTACATCCTCTTGAGGTCCTGTCTGATAGAAAAAGACCCCATGGATTTACTTCAGCATCCTTAGTCTGTTCTTTCCAGCTACTTGATACTACTTGTATGTAGTCTAAAAACACAGTTGGAAAAATGTGTATTGAAACAGGAAGAGAATTTAAATTCCCTGTGTTGTTGCCACCTGGAGATAAGCACTATTTTGTTTGACATCCCATGTGCATTTCCTAATGCTAGTTCAATACACCAAACGTTTGGTTTTAGTTCAAATTCTGCCTTTGTTACCTCACGGCTATTTGCATTTTTTTTCCCCGGATGAGTGCTTTCTGGCCAATTTCTTGAAAAAGCACATTCTACCTTTACTTTTCTTACTAGATAGATATCTCATTGTTCCAATTTCCTGTTACTGGTAATTCTTAATACAGCGGCCCTGGCTATTTTAGCCATTACTGATTTGTTTGTTCACCTTTTTTTGTTGTGCAACTGGACTAAAGGAAGAGGGAGATGGTTAGGCATAAAGGCTAAGTAGGCTTTTGTGTTTAATTTTTGAGAAAAAGTGAAAGATGATTATTGTAGGACTATTTATTTTTGCTTATGGTTGAATATTGTCTACAGTTTAAATGTCTTTAAGCAGTTACTCTAAATGTAAAGTGTTTTCTTAAAGACTACAGTTTGAGTATAAAATTGAACAAATTTAATATAAAATTGTAGAAGACCCTTGTTTGAGTCTGGGATACTATGTGGTGAATTTCTAAATGGTCATCCCTTTAGATGCCTTGTCATACTTAGAATTGTTCTCCACCTAATTGCTTTTCTGTAATGCCAAGGTTTTGTACTTTTCGGATCTCATGCCGTTTGTAAAATATGAATGTCCAACGGTAGATTATTTTGTTTGATTTCAGACGTTTGCTGAATAGAAAATATTATGGGTTGGGTGTTTTTCTGCAAGTAAACGGAGATTCATGCAAAAGCAGTTGTAATTTCCTCTTGGAAAAAGTCTCAAGTGTTTGAAAGTTAGAATTGGATGCTACGGTTGATATTTAGGATTGTTATAATATAGGGCTTGTCTTCAAACCAGTTCATTTTTCCTGGAGTTTTAACTGTTAACACACTATTCTGCTACTCTTGAGATGATGTACGGTATTTGACATTTAGATTTATTTTTCAAGATGTCTCACTGATTTCCTTGTGCTCAATGTACGTACTTCAGGATGTATAGAAAGGAACTTACAATTGAGCCCTTATACGTGTTCTAAGCTAGGAATATGTTCACTGTTGTTTGAAAATGGATTGCAAGAATAACCTCAGTTAGGAAGCGTGACTTGAAGTGTCAGCACAGGCTACTGATAAAGACACTACCTTCCTCACCTTGCCTCCTATTTTGCCCCCCAGAATATAATTTTTTCTTCCCCATTGTGCTAGAAAGTTAAATGTGTTATAGAATGCATATGATATCATTATCTCTTCAAGTGGATAATGTTTTACGTGTAACAGCAGAATTCAACTTTGAGTTGTTACTGAAGGAGCCTAAATATCTTTAAAACAGGATGGAAATCGAACATATACATTATAATAATTCGACTATTTTCATCAGAAAAATCTCATCCCCTTTGTCAAAAGAGGCAACTGATTGCCTTGATATTTATCTGCCGTTTTCAGATAAATTTTATAAATACAGCTAGAGCACCCAAGGAGACCAGTAAAAACAGTTAAATAAGGTGTAGCCAGGCAAAGATGCTGGCCAAAGGTACATGAAATGCAGGATTTAAATATCTAGCGTGTATTTCTCATCTCTAGACAAGTTCGTGTTTATTGTTTTATTTATGATCAAGTTGTAGACCATTGTTGGGTCCACTTTATAAATGGTTCAACAGTGGCACAGAATTTGTCACTTGTCTGAGGTCAGCAGCAGATTTTCTCTGCAGTCAAGCGATCTGTGTCCTCCAACAGACTAGTACAACTTTAATTAGTTCAGACTACTCTTACATGTAAGATAAGTTTTGCAAGAGCTGGGCTGAAGCAACACGATGATAACTTGGCAAGATTTCCTTTTTCTTTTTGCAGAAGGGAAAGGGTCACCTGAGAAAATAAATTATTTTCAGGGACTTCGGGAATCTAACCATAACTATTACATGTAATTTATGAATAGTTGGATCCTTTATCTATTGATGAAAATAGTCTGGGATTCCTCAACTACCATTGCTCCTGGCCACACTTTCTTTCCTGTTTCTTGACTACACGTACTTGAGAGTAGTATCTGCATTCCTTTTAAGGTGTTCTATCAGCCATATTTGTCAATTACACGGACTAGTCTTCCTTTTTCTCAAGTTCAGTGAAATCTCACTGAACAGTAATAATAGCAATAGCTAACAACATCTGCACAGCACCTTACAGTTTGCAAAGAACGTTCACATATTCTTGTTTGAGTTTTGCATAGTGAACCTGTTACGAGATGTCTCCAGACATCCTTGCTGAAGATGTTAGAATCTTCAACTCAGTAGAGTCATTGAGTATGCTGTAGTCTTTGAATAGTGCCCTGACTAGGGGCAGGGTTTAGATGCGCTATTTTGAAAGCTGTGTGTAATTATCAAAAAGGGGGGCTTGAGTTCTTTAGCCACTTGAATCAGATTTACTTTTGTAAGTGATACTTTTCTAACTGTTACCCGGATGGATTTTGTATCCGTTATATTCTAGCCTGTAATTTGTATGAATTTACCATCTGTTGTCATTAAAAAAGTGTTCATAATGCCACTTCGGTGTGTCCTCATTCAATGAATAGTAAATTTATTAATATCTTTGTTTTTTTAATACGTGTTTACCTCTGTTTATACCATATAAAATGGAGTTGTCAAGGACAAGCTTTTATGCAGTAATTGTAGACCAGAGATGCTCAAACTGGTGGGGGGGGCCCTGAGGGGTACTGAGACAGGAAGGCCTGGTTATACCCCATCTGGTAGGCCCATCAGAAGTGGTGTGGCAGGAAACAGGGAGGAGGGCAGGGGGTGGTAAGAAAGCAGCATCTTACCCTGTGGCTTTTTTTTTAAGATTTTATTTATTTATTCATGAGACACACACACACACACACACAGAGAGAGAGAGAGAGAGAGAGAGAAGCAGAGAGAGAAGGAGGCTCCACACAGGGAGCCCGATGTGGGATTCGATCCCGGGACTCCAGGATCACGTCCTGGGCTGAAGGCAGGCACTAAACCGCTAAGCCACCCGGGGATCCCTGGCCTGTGGCTTTTTAAAGGAAATTATTTTGGGAGTGAATGGGCTTCGAATACTGCTAACGGAGTAATACTTGTGACCAATTAAATATGGAGGTAGTTACTTCCTAGCCCTGTCCAGCAGGCCACCCCTTCCTTGTGCCAGTTGGCCTTTGTCCATGGTCCTCCAAACCACCTTTTGATTGTATTCTCAGTTCCTTTCTGTGCTTCTAAGGGCTCTAGCTAGTTCTCAGTAAATAACATCCACTTCTAAAAAAGATTGGAGTCATCTCAGTATCAAAATATACAGATTATATACAGTCATATTTATTTACAAAAGTACAGACTATAAGATGTCCAGGGAACTCAGGACACCTGTAATGGCATGCCACTGGAATCACCTTCTATGATTTACTGCCCAAACCTACTGAGTCAGAACCTCTGGGGGTGGGGCCTGGAAACACATGTCTGTACCAGGCCATATCTGACAAAGCCAGTTTTGAGAATTGCTGCTGGAAATTGGGAACTGTCAGTGTATGTTTTTAATGCTAGACTTGAAGATGTTTGTACAAAGCAGGCCCGAAATAGGTACTTTAATAAGCAAAGGTAGAGTCCTACAAAATGCTATGTTTTGAAAACTCAGCTTAAAATCAGGAGAGCTTTCTTGGGTCCCTGACCATCACCTTGACGTGCTTCCCTGTTAAGGAATTCCATGAAAACTGGTATGGGGGACAGTCCTCTTAGAGTTAGACATATTAAGAAGTGGGCCACTGCTGCATCTCTGATCTCTTCCTCTTATTTGGAATTCTTAACTGTTGTCTTTGAAAAGAGGGGAAAAAACAGCACAGGCATTTATGAGAATCTGGTTTCAAAAGTAAGGGAATTAATGGAGAAGACTGGAAATAGTTTCCCAGGCATATCTGCTGTATGCATAGTATGACTCCCCAGCCCCCAAATATTTTACCTGTCACTACTTAGAGCTTCCCACTTCATTTCCTGTACACCTCGCTGTTTTGCCCATGCTCACTCCCACCTCACAGCTTTACACTGGCTATTCTCTTTGCCCAGGACCCTCCCCCGCAGATCCTCCCAGGGCCAGCTCTTTCTTACCCTTTGGGTATCAACTCTCATATTGCCTCTCCAGAAAGGCCTCTCACAACACGTAATACTGGATGAAATTGTCCTGTTTGTTTACCTCCCTCCACTATGCCGTATGCTCAGCACTGTCACCGCTGAATCCCCAGTGCCTAGCACTTACTAGTAAGAATGCTCTTGGCCAACTGGAAGTAAGAAACCACAGTTCCAACTGACTTAAACAATGGGAGACGCAAGAGATGGGGTCAATCCATTTGCACAGTGTAGACTTCCCGCCCCATTTATCTGTGATTCTCCACGTCCTTCTCAGTGTGTTGGCAACAACCTCAGGCTTTCTGGCCTTGTGATGACTAAATGGCTGCAGCCATTCTGGGGTTTCATCTACACCACACATAGTCTTCCTGTCACTGATCATACCCCCTGGGCTTCACTCTGAACTAACTCAGGTTACGTTCCCACCTGTGAAATAATCACTTTGGCCAGGCAATGCCAAGCATTGGTCCGTTTATGCCTGGACAAGTGCCCTGTCCCGAGTCATTCACTTGGTTAACTTAGGCCACTCAGTGACCACCACTGAGGAAGGGGTTTGATGCTGGTGAGGCTCCCAACATGTTCGCTGCAGGGTTCAACAGATTTGGTAAATGAAAATGGCAGTATGCACTATGTACACATATGTAGATATGGAGATGGATGTGGACAGGGATATAGACATAGATATGAATAGAGGGAGGGGAGTCATGCACTTTGGAGCGTGGAACCAATGTCAGTGTCAGGACAGGGCAGGACCTGGTGCAGGGCCATGTTCCGAAGGACCTTACAGCTGCATGAGGGCCGGGCTCCTAGTAAGTGGCAAGATACCAACATGGTCCCTCTGTGCCAAATTTTGTCAGTTCTGCCTCAGGAAGAAAACCGAAACCGTTGTATTGCCATCAAAGTCTTTTTCCCCATCTCTATCTGTGGCTTTCTGTTCGCAGGAAGGAGCACTCTGCTCGGAAGCCCTAACACATCCCTTCTCTCAACCCCTCCCCACTGCCACCCCTCCCCACTGCATCTATGGTTCTTTATAAACACGGGAACACAGGGGTGGCATGCTTTATGCCTGCATACAGGCAAAGCAGCAGTGCAGCTGGATACGCTCTTTGTGGCTATGGCACATGGGGTTTTCCTGTTTAACCAGCTTTCATAGAACATAGCAATTGCAGTCATTCAGCTAGAGTCCCACTTAACACATGTCCCATAGACAATACTGGTAAAGAGGCAGCCTGGCACCTGAGTCTACAAATACTTGCCAGTGCTCTGCTGTGTGATTCTGCGATTTTCAGCAATGTCATCAAATTTACCTCTTGCCGGTCAACATATACAAAAACAGAAAAAAGTTTCAGTAGAAATAATCTGATTTTTCTCAGCTATATGTAGCTATAGAAAGACATGTTTTAGGGGCACCTGGGGGGCTCAGTGGTTGAACTTCTGCCTTTGGCTCAGGGCGTGATCCTGGGGTCCTGAGATTGAGTCTCACTTTGGGCTCCCCGCAGGGAGCCTGCTTCTCCCTCTGCCTATGTCTCTGCCTCTCTCTCTGTCTCTCATGAATAAATAAATAAGTTCTTTAAAAAAAACAAAAGAAATACATGTTTTATTTTTTTAAAGATCTTATTTATTTATTCATGAGACCTGGAGAGAGAGAGAAGCAGGCTCGATGTAGGGAGCCTGACGTGGGACTCGATCCTGGGCCTCCAGGATAAGGCCCTGGGCTGAAGGCGGCGCTAAACCGCTGAGCCATCCCGGCTGCCCAAAATACATGTTTTAAAGAAAAGCATATATTTCATGGCCTGATGTTATTGCTTTAAAAATATTCACAATAGAAAATGAAAATGTTTGAGAGCTGTGAGAAGTGGAGTCTACTTACATTTCTTCATTCCATTTCTTTCTTAAAAATTGGATGTATCAGGCAGCCCGGGTGGCTCAGCAGTTCAGTGCAGCCTTCGGCCCAGGGTGTGATCCTGGAGACCCGGGATCGAGTCCCACATCAGGCTCCCTGCGTGAAGCCTGCTTCTCCCTCTGCCTGTGTCTCTGCCTCTCTCTCTCTCTGTGTCTCTCATGAATAAATAAATAAAATCTTTTAAAAAATTGGATGTAGAACAGGCTGAGGGCACCATGCTTTCCCCTGCCCCCAGTATTTCTTTTCTTTTTTAAAGCAGTGGTGTGGAGCCCGACGTGGAGCTTGAGCTCACAACTCTGAGATCAGGACTTGAGCTGAGATCAAGAGTCAGATGCTTAACCAACTGAGCTACCCAGGTGCCCCTCCCCTAGTATATCTGCTGCTTCTACTTAGAAATTCAGTCCTCTGCTTCCACTCTTTGCTCAGTCCTCCCTCCTGACCCATCTCAGATTAACTAGAATTGGGATTGAAAGATGAACAATAAACGGATGGAAAGCCCATTAAAATAGGATAAGCAAGAGAGTTAAACCAATTTTTCCAACTGACTTGGTAGAAGGGTCTGGTGGGAATTGCCGTGTGTGGTAGGCCAAATTCTAAGGTGCCCCCCCCAGGGTCCCACTGCCTGGTGTACTCGCCTTGTATCCTGTCCACCTCTTGGCTATGGATGGAACCTGTGAATGTGATGGGATAGTAGCTCTCTGGATTAGATTACTACATGAGTTTGCTCAGGCCTCCATAACCAAGTACCACAGACTGTGTGGCTTAAACAACAGAAACATATTGTTGCATAGTTCTTCTGGGGACCAGAGGTCCAAGCATCCAGGTGTTGGCAGGGTTGGTTCCTTCTGAAGAACCTTCAGTTGTAGATGACCATCTTCTCCCTGTGTCTTCACATGCTCTTCCCTCTGTATGCCTGTGTCCTAATATTTTCTTTCCTTTTTTTTTTAATTTTTTATTTATTTATGACAGTCACAGAGAGAGAGAGAGAGAGAGAGGCAGAGACACAGGCAGAGGGAGAAGCAGGCTCCATGCACCGGGAGCCCGATGTGGGATTCGATCCCGGGTCTCCAGGATCGCGCCCTGGGCCAAAGGCAGGCGCCAAACCACTGCGCCACCCAGGGATCCCCTAATATTTTCTTATAAGTACATGGGTCATACTGGATTAGAGTTCACCTCATAACCTCATTTTATTTTATTTTTTAAAAATTTTATTTATTTATTTGAAAGAGAGAGAAAAAGAGCACAAGCAGGGCAGGGGGGCAGAAGGACAGGGAGAGGAAGGAGCAGACTCCCCACTGAACAGGGAGCCTGATGCAGGGCTCCATCCCAGGATCCTGGGATCATGACCTGAGCCAAAGGCAGACGCTTAGCCGACTGAGCCACCCAGGTGCCCCCTAATAACCTCATTTTAACTTACTACCTTTTTAAAGACTGAATCTCCAAATACCATCACGTTCTGAAGTACTGGGTGTTAGGACTTCAACATAGGAATTGAGGGGAAGGGGACACAGTTC